AATAGCAACCTCCCCCACTGGAATAGCCTCAGATTAGCCCTCAAATCGGAGACCGCTTCTAAACACAGAAGCAAGCGACGCAAATTCCTAAATTGCTTATCGTCTGCATCACAGAAAATCTATGTGTCATCTGCAATAATAAATGCGAGACCTGTAGATGACCCACCGCAAAGCCTCTTAACAGACCCTTCATCACCGCTTTCTCAACCATCCTACTAAAAGCCTCTATCACAATAACAAACAACAAAGGGGACATGGGATCACCTTGCCTTAAACCTCTACTACTCCGGAAGTAGCCTTCTGGGTTGCCATTAACCAAAATTGAAAATGAAACTGTAGAGACACTGAACTGGATCCACTTACACCACCTATCCCCGAATCCGCATCGTCGGAGCATATACAAAAGAAATCCCCAATTGACGTGATCATACACCTTTTGAATATCAAGTTTACACAACATCCCTGGAACCCCTTGATGTATTCTTGAGTCAATGCATTCATTCGCCATAAGAACAGAATCCAAAATCTGTCGCCCCTTCACAGAAGCATTCTGGAACTTGGACACTACTTTTCCCAGTACCTCCTTCAATCTATTCGCCAAAACTTTAGCAATAATCTTATAAACCCCACTGACTAAGCTAGTAGGACGATAATCCTTAATATCAGACACTCCTGGTTTCTTAGGAATCAGTGCAATAAATGTGGCATTAAGACTTCTCATAAACCTCCCACGTTTAAAGAAATACGTGATTGTATCCATAATGTCCGATTGCACAACTTCCCAGCAAGTCTTGTAGAATGAGAACGAGAAGCCATCCGGTCCAGGGGCCTTATCTTCATTCATATTAAACACCACATCCTTAATTTCATCCTCCTCAAATGGTCTCTCAACCCAATTGGCATCCTCTGCGGTGATAGCGAGGAAGTCCAGCCCCTCCAACTCTGGCCTCCAATCAAACTGCTCCCGATAGAGATTCTGATAGAATGTCACCTACTGAGTCACAATATCCAGTGGATCCTCATACATAACCCCATCTACCTCCAATAGTGTAATAGAATTATTGCGCCGATTGGAGTTAGCAATTCGATGAAAGAATTTTGTGCATTTGTCGCCCTCCTTCAACCAAATAACCCTAGATTTCTGTCTCCAAGCAATCTCCTCCATGTCTATCAATATCTCCAACTCTCCTCTTAACCTTTCACGCCTCTCTTTGTCCTCCTCATCGAACCCTCGACTCTCCTCTTGTCTGTCCAATTCCTCTATGTCTGACATACACTGATTTTTACGACAATTTATGTTTCCAACCACCTCGTTCCACTTTTTTAAATCCCCTTTTAAAGCCTTCAATTTATGATGTAAAACATAATTAGGGGACCCCCTAAACTCGTAAGAGGCCCACCAATTCCGAACTCGCTCCCCAAAACCTTCAACTTTAAGCCACATCTTCTCAAACCTAAAAGGACTTCTTCGATTACCCCTCACAATCCCAGATAATGAAATAGGGAAATGATCGGAGTACACTCTCCCCAGTCTCCTCTGAGTGACATCTGAATACTTAGCCTCTCACTCACCACCAATCAAAAATCGATCTATTCGAGATTGAACAGGTTGATCTCGATTAGATGACCAAGTATACTCTCCATCCATCATAGGCAAATCCACCAACATATTTTCACTAATAAAATTAGAAAAATCTTCCATAGGCCCTGTAATTCTCTCACCACTCGACCTCTCAGATGGAAATTTGACCACATTAAAATCACCCCCAATGCACACTGGTAGGTTCCACCAAGCCATCATCCCACAAACCCCTTCTGTTCTCATCTGAGTTAGGCCCATAAACTCCTATAAACATCAACTTAAATCTATCCCCAACATTGTTGAAGGAAAGTGACAGAGTGAATAACCCTACACTAACCTCCTCCATTTCAAGAACTCTAGTGTCCCACGTGACCAACACACCTCCTGATGCCCCTGACGCTCCAAGAAACTGATACCCGACATGCTGTCCCCCCTGGCCCCCTATAAAGAACTCACAACAGACCTCGAAACGACCTTCGACTTTGTTTCTTGTAAACAAACAAGGTCAGCCCGCCATCCCCTTAACAAATTCCGGACACCTAACCTTTTCCCAACCTTGTTGAGCCCCCTCACATTCCAACTAATGATTTTTGGGATCATTTAAACTCTCCTTCCTTCCCCCCCATCAACCCTCTCTTTGACTCACTACCTTTAACATCATAGTTTATCGAACATTCGAGTCGCCTAAGCTCACAGTCCCCTTTTCTTTTTGCTTTTCCTCCCGGTGTATATATCCCATGTCCCCTATTAGTCTCCAGCTCCTCAAACAATTGCATGAGTTTACTCTCATAACCGTTGCATGACACACCCACCATCTTGCTCAACTCCTCCATTTTATGGAGAACCCAATTTGAGACTGGAGGTCTAACATCAATAGGCTTCAAGATCTGTCCATCCCCCTCTTCCAACTGCGTTATGCCCTTGTCCATTCTTCCTATTTTAGCGACATCCTATGTTAGTGTTCACAATCATATTTGTCGAGCCTGTCACCTCTTGCTCTTGTGTCAATGCCGGCCTCGAGTCCTCCGCCAGTGCTACTCGCATCTCTTTCTCTATCAACACTACACCTTCTGTAGATGTGATCGTGTCCACCTCAACCGCAAATGCACAACTATTCTCTCTGGTCTCATTCTATGTCATCAAATCTGTGCTCATCGTACTCTGTTCCCCTCCCTTCGATGCAAGTTCCATCTCCACTGTCCTCCCCGTCGTCATCTCCACTGTCCTCCCCGTCATACCTTACTTGATTCTAACAATTGGGCTCAATCATCACCCGCTTTTCTTTCGTTTAAATCAAGTTCGATGGTAACTCCTTAGCTGGATACACCGACACACCAACCGCGCACTTATGACAATAAATCATCCCGGAGCCCTCTAGAACTCCACCTCCCAGAAACCTCCATAATTCATCCACTTCACCTTTCAACATCTGGACGCGAGCCTTTATTTCAACAAAACTCAATGAACTGTCCAATGCAACTCCGGCCATTGTCTCCTTCAACTTAGGCATCAAATGACCTTCGTTGATAGGAGCTGAGGGTCCTGCACGGGTGTCATTCCCACTAACCTCACTTTCCTTTTGTGATAGCACTGACTTATTCGTGTTCTGCTCGACCTTTCGGTTTGCCGTAACTTCAGCATAAGTCCTCCCTTGTTGATTGTTTACTTTAGTCGCTTCGCTTAACTTTTTCTTTGGTGACAAAAAAGTCAACAACTGCCTGAAGCACTCGCAAAATCGACACCCATCCCTCTCCATTCACACCCTTCGGTACCATCACCACTCCTTTCCGACGTCTCTCCCCGTACTGTGCTATCTTCAGATACCTACCTCGGCTGTTTCCACACCGTTGTGCCATAAATGCTCTCGAGGACTCACTAAACTTGGCAACAAACTCCTCCTGCTTGCTTGCCCCCCTTTGTTTATTCACCATATTCAGCATCCACAAAGCACCAAACCTCCCCATAGAAATAGCATTCGATATCCTCGGTCCCCATTCTGTCAACCTAACAATGCCGGATTCGTTAACAGACACAACAAATTCCTTCGCCTCCACTCTAAACCGAAGATTAAAATCCCTTTTGCTAAACATATCTGCATGCTTTTGAAATGATGCCACTGACGGTAGAACGGGCTGGTGGAATGATCAGGTCACGAGGAATCTGCAGCTTCCTTGTCGCGGTGCGTGAGGCCCACGCATCGCTGGAGCGTTAGTTCCACGCGCCGCCAGAGCCCTACCTGGAAGCTCCGCCAAGCCTGTCGGTGTCGGAATGACCTGCACAGAGGTCCGGTCAGGCGCGTGAAGCGTGCAACTCGTCGGAACTCGGTGGATTGGAGTCTGGATCCCTTGCACTATGAGATCTTGGGCTATTTTTGTTGATAGATCTCCATAGGAACAGGCGCCTAGGTGCTGTGAGGTGTTCGGTAGTTGATTTGGGCCATAGGTCTAGCCGGAGAGCAAGGTGGAGTCAGGTTGGCCATTCGCGGGTTGGGTGGTTTCGAGGACTCCAGAGGCTGATTTAGGTGGCGTGAGGCCAGGTGTGGTGGTGGGTTGGAATGAGGGGGCCTTGCCGTTGCGGGTGGTGGCGGTGGCCGGCGGTTTGGGGTGGGTTGGTGTTTTGGTAGGAGTGTATGGCGGCGGCTCCATACACGGGGTTTTTTTTTTAGGTCCGCAGTCCGTAGACAGTGGAACCATCAGCAACTGTAACAGGGGACAACGCTAAAGGTTCAAACCAAACTTATTTTCTAGTATTCTATCTTGAGAAATAATTTTTCAATATGACAAATCAAACTCGTTTTTAGAAATCTTAAAACACTCTCAAAATATAAAACTGAAAACGAACTCAAAACTCAAAACAGAAACACAAACCAAAAGGATCTTTATTGTCTTGATAAAAATATTTTCTTGGGAGGATGCTGTTATATACTTCCTTGTTGCCTGATGAAATTATGTGCCACTATCAATCTTAGCTAGGATTTACAACTGCCTGAGTCCTGAAAGTAAACCTTATTTAGTTCCAGCAATATTGTGGCAGATTTAAATTGAGATTCATAAATTCTCTAGTTCTTCCATTATACACATATTGGATGAGTGCAGACGTAAGCAAACCTTTATTCAAGTTGAATTGGCCACAAAGTTTTCTTCCCACAAAACTCTTCCTCTATATGTATTAACATTTTTTAAAATCAAAATTACTGTTCTTATTTTTTAAGATAAGCTACATATTATGCCTGTGTTTGGTGAGGACTAAAATAAGATTTTTAGTAGATTTTAATAAAAGTTGATAAAATGTGTGGTTGAAAAGTTGTTAATATAATTAAATATGATTAAAATTAGTTGTTCACTTTGATTTAGATTAAAATTTGGATTTTAATTTCTACCAAGCAGAGCCTATATATGTTTCACTACTGAAAGGGAATAAAAACTAAATTTTAATCTTTTATTTTGCTGGAAAGTATCAAACTTTTGATAAAACTGTCTCTTAGTCATGCTACTTAAATATTTTATAAGAATTCTTGTGTTAAAGTTTTGGTTTCATCAGTTATATGTTGTAATTAGTTTAAAATGATCAAGTGATCTTATAATTTATTTGGTTGTATTTAGTAATTTCAACATATATTTGATAATGACAAATCAAATATTTGCATTAAGTTATTTATGCATGATAATGACCGATTAACATTAGATGCATTACTTCTTATATATGGTCATTAAGGACTTCTGGAGCAGAATATTAGGGGGGTGTTTGTTTGGGATTCTCAAATTCTACAGTAAATCAGTTATCATTTTCAACCACACATTTTTCAATAAAATAATATCTTCCATCACATCAATAATTTTTTCTTCTTTTTCAACCACACATTTCCCATCATATCACTATTTAAAATCAATTCTTCCCCCAAAAATCTCTCCCAAACAAGCTCTTAAAGTTCAGTGAGTNAAAAATCCCAAAAAAACACCCCCTAGATGTATTTCTTGCATATGGCCATTAAGGACTTCTTGTCCTTCCTTTATTCTGCTCATCTGTCTTCTCTTTTAGCCTCTGTTTGGTTTAACTAAAAAACTCAAGTCAAAGTTAACAATTAATTTTAACCACACATTTTACGGAACCTATAACTTTTATCAACATTTTAACCACACATTTCATCAACTTTTATTAAAATTTATTAAAATATGATTTTTAGCAAAACCAAATTGTAGCTTAATAAAGTTCTCTTCCGCTCTCAGAGAATATCGCATCTTTTCAGTTGAAATAATATTGATGATTCCTAAAGCTTTCTACAATGAATTATGTAACGACCCAAGCCTCGTGATCAAGCCGTTATATCATACGTACTGTTCGCTTTGAGATGCATCTGCCCTCTTAGCCCTTTACGACTTTCTATCGCGTTCTCTAGAATTCGAATCTAAGACCTTTACCTTATGAGATACTTAAATTGAATCGGCATATAACGGCTTGGGCACGTGACCTGGATCGTTAAACAAATGTTCATTTTTTTTGTAATGATCCAGACTCTTACTCAAAGGTTATATCATACGTACTGTCCGCTCTGGGAGGACATCTCCCCTTTTACCCCCTCACGGCTTTACTAAGATTTAACTTAAGTCTCTCATAACGCAGAAGTGTTGGGTTCGAATTTTGAGGAAAGGATAGAAAACCGTGAAGGGATAAGAGGCATAAGCCCTCCCAAAGCGGGTATGATGTAACGACTAGGGCATGAGGCCCCGAGTCATTTCAAATACTCTAAAAAGTGTGCCATTTGGTGGATTCTTTACCAGGTTTTATAAACTGTATCATCTCCTAAGTTATTACAAATCCAAATTAATTTGCACTCTTATAGGAAATTTCTCATTGTGTTTTGACTTTGACTTTGTTGTCTACTAATTTGAATTTTTCACTTTTGACCATTACCTTAACATAAAATGTACATGTGCTGAACTAATCGTTCTTTAATTAGGCATTATAATCCCTTGATTACTGAGAATCATGAACGAAAAGTATTTTATTAAATGAACAGATGATTTCTATCTTCACTTATCCAACTTTCTTAGTACTGTGTCCTTGATGATGTTGGGGGATTCAACACTTTATATGCTGGGCTCAATACAGCATATTATATGCTTATCTTCTACATTCTGACGTGTGAACAATTCTTTGCATGCTAGGTTGGTTACCCTTTGGTGACTCTTCTGCTGTGTCTTGGTGATCCTAATATTTTCCTCAGTAATTTTGGTCCTCACATGGAGCAATTATACAAGCATCTTAGGGTAAGCTATATTTTGCATTTTCGTGAATTTTTGAGAAATGAAATTATACATGTTAGCCCCCTTTTTTGCGAACTGTATCATTTTGAATTTTTTGGTTTGATAATTTATCTTTGGTGCATTTGATTGCAGATTCTCTGAAAGGATTTAACTTGGATTTCTGTTGCAGGATAAGAACCATCGCTTCATGGCCTTAGATTGTCTACATCGCGTTCTGAGGTTTTACTTAAGTGTTCACGGTGATTCACAACCTCCAAATCGTGTATGGGATTACCTGGATAGTGTCACTTCACAACTTCTGACAATCCTAAGGAAAGGAATGCTCACTCAGGATGTCCAACATGACAAACTTGTGGAGTTCTGTGTGACCATTGCAGAACATAACCTTGATTTTGCTATGAATCATTTGATATTGGAATTACTGAAGCAAGATAGTCCAAGTGAAGCGAAGGTTATTGGTCTTCGTGCTTTGCTTGCCATTGTTATGTCTCCTACAAGCCAGCATGTAGGCTTGGAAATTCTGCATGGTAACTCTTACTTATCTTGTAACTACACACTTCTTATATCTGAATCGTCTTAATTGAAGTTTGTGTTGCATTGGCAGTTCATAATATCGGTCACTATATTCCAAAAGTTAAGGCTGCAATTGAAGCTATTCTGAGGTCTTGCCATAAAACTTATAGTCAGGCCCTTCTCACTTCTTCAAGGACCACCATAGGTAATCTTCAGGTTTCTCTTAATTTTTATTTTTTATTAAGACCATTAGCTTTGCACACCTATAGCTGATTGCATGTCATGATCATACGTCAGAATATAATCTGTTATTTCTCGTGGTTTTTTGTGAAGTTTCATTTTTCTAAACTTACAACCTCCAGAGTTCTTTAAATGGTTAAAGTCAACATTTTGTTAGGACAATCAGGATCCTTTAAATTTCTGGAATGCAAATAAGCACAGAACTTAATTTATGCACAACTGTTACACAACATCTAGAATCTAAGAGGAAACCTATAGTTTGGTTATATTTATTTTAAAGCAAATTAACTGTAAATTTCCTCCGACTATTTTGATCTGTTTTCCATTTCCATGCTGGAAGTGCATCTCTGAACTAAAGCGGGTTTCTGTGTTTACCCAATTGAAAGTTGAACTGTCATCTTCTGGTGTCTTCTATGGAAATGCAAATTGCGGGTGATCTTAGTATTCAAGTAATTTAAGCAAAAGAAAATTGATCTATCATATAGATCTGTGGCGAAGGGTCTAGAGTTGGACCACTTTTGTGGAAGCACCATGAATGTGATGAAGTTTTTGTATCTTCTTAGTTTGTATTGTTCCTGGCACATCAACAGAACTTTTACCTGCCTCATCAGTTTAGTTGAGCATTTTTGCTTCGCATTAAGTTCTTACTGCTTCATATGGCAACCTTGAAACTTTATACTGCCTTACTTTTTATTCTGAAGCAAAATTAAGAAAAGCAACAGACTAGTGCTTAGCATTTGCAAAGAACTTGCGTATGCTTGTTGCACAGATATTTGGTTTGCAGAATATCTGCTCGTCATGCTACCTGTTGTCCTGTCTTCAGCTGAGCTTTGTCATTTAACAAGTTGTGTGCATATTCTCTTTATATGCTTCTTGGATTTCTCCTATAAATTGCTTAAATTATGTTCTGCTAAAGTGGGATATACAACTGAAAAATACTTCTCCAGATGCTGTTACTAAGGAAAAGTCTCAAGGATATCTTTTCCGGTCAGTATTGAAGTGTATGCCATATCTGATCGAAGAAGTTGGCCGAAGTGATAAAATAACAGAAATCATACCCCAACATGGCATCAGTATTGATCCTGGTGTTCGTGAGGAAGCTGTACAGGTTCTGAATCGGATTGTAAGATACCTCCCCCATCGCCGCTTTGCAGTTATGAGAGGAATGGCAAACTTTATCTTACGTCTTCCTGATGAGTTCCCCCTTCTCATTCAAACATCATTAGGACGCCTTCTGGAACTCATGCGCTTTTGGAGAGCTTGTCTATCTGATGATAAGGTAGAAATTGATGTTTCCGATACAAAGCGTGTACAGAGAAATGAAGCATTCAGGAAGCCTTCCTTTCATCAGCCTCAAGAAGCAATTGAATTTCGTGCTTCAGATATAGATGCTGTTGGTCTTATATTCCTTAGTTCTGTTGATAGTCAGATCAGGCATACTGCCTTGGAGTTACTGCGATGCGTACGTGCTTTACGAAATGATATACGAGAACGTTCAATGAATGAACGGCCGGAGCATATTTTCAAAAATGAGGCTGAACCGATATTCATAATTGATGTTCTAGAAGAGAATGGGGTGGGTAGCACTTTCTGACTCGTATAAGTTATCTAAAATTCGGCGTCATTTATAAATCTGTTTAAAAACTAGATGTCGGAGGTTTAATTCACACATGACTGTGATTCACAGGATGATATCGTTCAGAGCTGTTATTGGGATTCTGGACGTCCTTTTGATCTAAGACGAGAATCTGATGCTGTGCCTCCTGATGTCAGTCTCCAGTCAATACTTTTTGAGAGCCCAGATAAGAACAGGTGGGCTCGATGTCTAAGTGAGATTGTCAAATATGCTGCCGAGCTCTGTCCTACCTCTGTTCAGGATGCAAAGTAAGTAAATATGTCATGGTTCTTGAACGTGCATACACATTCTCGAAGCTCATTGTGTTATGTTGTAATTGTAAATTCAAATTGACATCTTATTCGCCAGAGCCAGAATCTACGAACGTAACTTTTTAACTATTTCACTTCAAATTATATTCAATGATAATATATCCATAAGCAAAATGGCCTCAATGTTTTTACCAATATCATAATTGTCCTCAGTCCTGATTCTTGTTTCTAATTTGGATTCGTAAAGTTACTAATTTGTATTAGAATAAGATGTTGAACTACTTGATTTAAAAGCTTAAGTTCTTAGAGAGGGCCATATGTATATTATTTATGTATTTTCTTTAGTACACCCCCTCATGTGTAGGCGGGGATCATTTTCAAATCAAAGCCTCACATATGCACAATTTCATTAAATGAGTGACGGTGAGACTTGAACCCAAAACCTTTGCCTCATCTCATACCATGTTAGTCCACTCGATTTAAAAGCTTGTGCTGTTAGAGAGTGTTAGAGATGGCCACATGTATTTCAATTTAACTATTTCTTCAAGTTAACATACTAGAAATTCAAGTTGATTTTCAATGTTTATATGCAGGTTAGAGGTTATTCAACGACTTGCTCACGTCACACCAGCTGAGTTGGGGGGGAAGGCTCATCAGTCACAGGATACAGACAATAAGCTGGAGCAATGGCTCATGTATGCAATGTTTGCATGCTCATGTCCACTTTCTAGTCGAGAAGGTGGAGGTTCAGCAGCTACAAAAGAACTATTCCATCTGATTTTTCCTTCCCTCAAGTCTGGTTCCGAAGCACATGTAGTAAGTAATCGCTGTCTGTCAACAATCTTTTGACGTCGCTCTAGATCTATGATTCAATAGCATATTTTTCCCAGTTTTTACAAATCAGCAAACTGAAATTGGTATCACGGAAGACGAGGCATTATATTATATTGCATCATATATAATATTTGATTTACAAATAGATATAATCACGAGCTTTGCTACTTGTTCACACTTCACATCAATTTTATTGATTTTTCTATAAGCTGACATAGAGAGGATCATGTGTACCTCAAAATTCCCCGAATTGCTGGAGGATGTCTTGTAACCAATAGCTTTCTACATGACTACGTGTCTGAATTCAAAATAACTGAAGCTCAAGAGACTGGACATCATGGTCGGAATAGACAACCACAACAAAAATTTAAGCCAGTAAAGATGGGGCTGGTTGCAGGAATCTTTTTTTGCCACCCTGTCAGTCCGTCACTACATCTACTGGATATCCGATGCAATCATATCCTTCACAACCACATCACGCCATATTAATTTTGGTCTACCTCTCCCTATTCTATTTGGTTTCGTTAGTAGCATCACTTTTGTGAATGACAGCTTCTTAACATAAGACTTGCCTTAACCTTATAAATTCAACTTATCTGAATTTATGCTCAATTGGTGCCACCTCTACTTGTTAGTTTTATTCTCATTTGGGTCATGACTCGTGAGTGTGAAATTGACTGAACATTTTCTTTAGTCATTGTCTATACGTAACATAAATTGCCGTTTTCCTGACTTTCTTTATTTTCTTTTTAATGTTATTGAGAGGGCGTAGTACATGCTGAATTTTCTTACCTAGCTGTGGTAAATGGGTCCCATGGCTCTTATCGATATCAGTAACAGTTAATCATGAATCTAGAGTGTTGTGCTGGCTAAATCTCAAATGAGCCTTTGTAGTGATTTACTTGTTGTGGCTCACTTAAGAACTGCATAAGGTTGCATTAGGTATGCTTTGCATTTTCTGCTCAGAATGAGTTTTGTTTTGTTAAAGGCTTATTCTTTATTCATGTTCAGTCAAAAAGATTTAATTCCCATTTCCTCCATCCATCTCCACCCCCACTATTTTTATTTAAAAAAAAAGATGACAAGTCGTCTGTTATTTTTCATATATTAATCAATTTTATATTCTTCTTTTTTTCCCAGCATGCCGCTACCATGGCGCTTGGTCACTCTCATCTAGAAATATGTGAAGTCATGTTCAGCGAGCTTGCGTCCTTCATAGATGAGGTTTCTCTCGAAACAGAAGGAAAGCCAAAGTGGAAGGTATACTTCACGACTGAACTCCATAGAAAAACTTCTTCCCTCTCTTTGTTCCTTTCTTCTCCCCCCTCCCCCAGAAAAAAAAAAGCTTTATCGCCTACTTGTGGTTGACCGAGTGCATCAATTTACAAGTTCCGAGGTCATGTGGAAACTGATAAAGTTCTATGCTGGCAGTCAGACCCCCTAACACAACCCTTGGGTGTGTGAACAATCTAAACCCATAAGCACATCATCGGCAAAAGTTTTTCACCTTTTCTATAATCAATAAACTGATGAAGTTCCATGCTGGCAGTCAGACCCCCAAACACAACCCTTAGATCGTGCCAACAATCTAAAGCCATAAAGCACGTTATAGGTAGAATCCCCTAAAACCCAGTTCTCATTTGAGGCTGAATCTCCACTTCTGTTAGTATACAGTCATTTTTATTTTTGTTTACATGATATCTACTAAAATTATTGAACTCTCATTTGGATGCACTAAAGCTTAAATGTCAGTGGTATCTATGCAGAGTCAAAAGTCTCGTCGTGAAGAACTCCGTATCCACATTGCGAATATATATCGCACAGTTGCAGAAAAAATTTGGCCTGGAATGCTAGGTCGCAAACCGGTTTTTCGCCTTCATTATTTAAAGTTTATTGAAGAAACAACTAGGCAGATACAGACAGCATCTGCGGAAAGTTTCCAAGAGATGCAACCTCTCCGTTTTGCACTTGCTTCTGTTCTAAGATATCTGGCTCCTGAATTTGTTGACTCCAAATCGGAGAAATTTGATGTTCGAACTAGAAAGAGACTTTTTGATCTCCTTCTCTCCTGGAGTGATGATACAGGTGGAACATGGAATCAGGATGGTGTTAGCGATTATCGACGTGAGGTTGAACGCTACAAGTCCAGTCAACATGCACGGTCGAAGGATTCTATCGATAAACTTTCATTTGACAAAGAATTGGGTGAACAGGTTGAGGCAATACAGTGGGCATCTATGAATGCAATGGCTTCTCTATTATATGGGCCTTGCTTTGACGACAACGCAAGAAAGATGAGTGGCCGGGTAATTTCTTGGATCAACAGCCTATTTATTGAGCCTGCCCCGAGGGCACCATTTGGTTATTCGCCAGCTGATCCAAGAACTCCATCTTATTCAAAATATACTGGTGAAGGTGGGCGAGGAGTAACTGGCCGTGATAGGCATAGAGGTGGCCATCTTCGTGTTTCTCTTGCAAAACTGGCTTTGAAGAATCTTCTTCTCACAAATTTGGACCTATTTCCTGCTTGCATTGATCAGGTAAGTCTTGAAGTTCTCTAAGAAGGCTAAGTTTTTATGACTGGTCTTAGCAAAACTAATTGAAAATTTGTTACCAAGTCAGATAGCAAAGCATATCATACTTCCTTCTGCATTTTTATCTCTTTGTCAAGGTGATCATTTTCTCTCATACTTACGTCGTGGCACTTGTGCCTATCCAAGCACACTTGACGATCACAATGGCATTTTGATCTGGTAAACACTTCTGAAGTGGATGATTTTGGAAAGCACTTTCTTTGCATGCGTTTGTTGCCTTCTTTTTCTTTTCAATTCTGCTATTCTGGTTATTGTTGACTTCTTTTCTTGAAACACTAATGAGTTTATATCCTAATGCAGTGCTACTACTCAGACGCTGCAATAGCTGATGGCTACTTCAGTGTGCTGGCTGAAGTCTACATGCGTCAAGAGATACCAAAATGTGAGATTCAGAGACTATTGAGCCTTATCCTTTACAAGGTGGTTGATCCATCTAGACAAATTCGCGATGATGCTCTTCAAATGCTCGAGACACTCTCTGTCCGTGAGTGGGCTGCGAATGGTATTGAGTGCTCAAATAGCTATCGAGCTGCTGTTGTTGGCAACCTTCCTGATTCTTATCAACAGTTCCAGTACAAGCTCTCTTGCAAACTTGCTAAAGATCACCCAGAGTTGAGCCAGCTTCTCTGTGAAGAAATTATGCAGAGGCAGCTTGATGCAGTGGACATAATTGCACAACATCAAGTTCTAACCTGCATGGCCCCATGGATAGAGAATCTCAATTTCTGGAAACTGAAGGATTCAGGTTGGAGTGAAAGGTTATTAAAAAGCCTTTATTATGTAACTTGGCGTCATGGTGATCAGTTTCCAGATGAAATTGAAAAGCTATGGAGCACAATTGCTAGCAAGCCCAGGAACGTAAGTCCAGTCCTTGATTTCTTGATTACAAAGGGGATTGAAGATTGTGATTCTAATGCATCAGCAGAAATAACTGGAGCATTTGCCACGTACTTCTCTGTTGCTAAGAGGGTTAGTTTATATTTAGCTAGAATTTGCCCACAGCGTACAATTGATCACTTGGTCTACCAGTTGGCTCAGCGGATGCTTGAGGATAGTGTAGAGCCGTTAAGACCTGCCGCAAATAAGGCTGATGGTGGTGGAAACTTTGTTTTGGAATTCTCTCAGGTTCCTGCAGTAGCACAAATCACCTCTGTTGTGGATACCCAGCCTCACATGTCACCTTTATTAGTTCGTGGTTCTCTTGATGGACCACTCAGGAACACTAGTGGAAGCTTGAGCTGGAGAACAGCTGCTGTTGGAGGCCGAAGTGCTTCAGGCCCATTGACTCCTATGCCTCCAGAGATGAACATTGTTCCTGTAACTACTGGTCGGTCTGGGCAACTTCTGCCATCATTGGTAAACATGTCAGGGCCACTAATGGGGGTGCGAAGTTCGACTGGAAGCTTGCGAAGTCGTCATGTATCTCGAGATAGTGGAGATTACCTCATTGACACTCCCAATTCTGGGGAAGATGGATTGCATTCCGGGGTTGGAACTCATGGGATTAATGCTAAAGAACTTCAGTCAGCATTGCAAGGCCATCAGCAACATTCATTGACACAGGCGGACATTGCCTTGATTCTACTTGCTGAAATTGCCTATGAGAATGATGAGGATTTTCGCGAGCATTTGCCATTGCTCTTTCATGTAACATTTGTCTCAATGGACAGCTCAGAGGATATTGTGTTGGAGCACTGCCAGCACCTGCTAGTTAATCTACTGTATTCCCTTGCTGGTAGGCATTTAGAGCTGTACGATGTTGAAAATAGTAATGGAGAGAACAAGCAGCAGGTTGTGAGCCTGATTAAATATGTCCAGTCAAAGAGAGGTAGCATGATGTGGGAGAATGAGGATCCCATGGTTACCAGGACTGAGCTTCCAAGTGCAGCTCTCTTGTCTGCTCTTGTGCAGAGCATGGTTGAAGCAATCTTCGTCCAAGGAGATCTTCGAGAAACTTGGGGAGCAGAGGCACTTAAATGGGCTATGGAGTGCACATCCAGACATCTTGCCTGCCGCTCACACCAGATTTACCGTGCATTGCGACCCCGAGTAACAAATGATGCATGTGT